GATCGTTGTATCTCGATTACCAGTTTTCACCTTAATTAACAGCGTCGTTTCGTTTCAAGGTCTTGACAGGAATAGACATCAGAACGTGTGGGAGTTTCCCACACAGCCCACGCAAAAGGCGAGCAGTGAGGACAAGATACGGAAAACTAATCGATCAGGGGATAGCAAAGGCTGTGGAGCATTGCGCGCAGGACCAATAAAGCGAAACGGAAGTTGTCCGTTACGACAACTCGCTACTGCCTCTGAAAATGTGTGGGTGGGCAAAAAATCTGCGGATGCTTAACGTCAAATCAATCTGAGCAGCCTAGTTTGCTCTTTTTTTAAAGTATATTTGTCTATTTAATTCGAGTGGAAATAGTTCTCGAGACCCATGAATGGTACCCTTGATGCAAAGTTCACCTGCAAATTAGAGTTAATTAAAGGCGAAAAGTCTCGCTTACAACCAATCAACTCTGGTAAAGACTGATTTGCATTATGCAGTCAGCAGCAGGAACGATCGGTGCAATTGGCATAGTGACAATGGACAAAGAGAAACAGGGCACCTTGTCGAATACAAAAGGGGTGAAACAGAATGCGTATAGCTGCTGGAGAAGCTTTGAAGCAGCCAGTTGGTCTTTATAGTAGCTATCAGGTCGGCCCGTAGCCTAGAGGTAACGAGCTTGTCTCGGAATCTTGCGGCGCAGGTTCGAATCCGCGTAGGGGTGGGCCTCTTCGTGGTACACTCAGCCAGCGTGCGACTGGTAATGGTCGCATGGCAGCGAAGCGCCGTCATGGCGTACAGCTGACAGATTCTTATTATTTATTATTAAAAGAACCGGAAAATACTCATACAATGACTTGAAACTTTCCACACGAACATGCACGAATGGGAATATAATGCATTTGTTGGGCCTCTGGATTTAGGTCTAACAAAACTGGTTAGATCCGAACAGCACATCGAGTGAGAGTTCAGTTGACTTTCCAAGTTGTGTCAGGAAAGTGACTGCTCGGACTCTGTTCAACCGTCTCGTCCCACAGATCCTTGAACCAAACGTGACTGAACAGAAGTTCAAAATCCGTTCGGGTCGCAGCACCACAGAATGGTGTTCGTCACTCGTCAGTTGCAAAAGAAATGCCGTGAGCGAAGCCAGCTACCGTATTCGATGTTCGTCGACCTCACCAAGGCGTTTGACACGGTGAACCAGGAGGCACTGTTGTCGGTTTTTGCTGCTCAGGGAATCTTATTCATCTACCGGAATGTCTTCACGGTGGCATGTGGACCGAGGTGTAGCAGTGCAGTCAAGACTCTGCTGATCTTGAGGTTGCCTCCAGTGCGAAGCCAACCGGCGTCATATCATCTACCCTGTTTAATATTTTTCTTACCACTATGATGCTTCGTGTTCTGAGTGCATGTGAATACAGTGTTCGTCTCGAGCACCGCATCAGTGGGTTCCTGAAAATTCATCGTTCGGGGGGGGGGGGAGAAATCTGGTACTTGAGACAACCATCCGGATGCTGTTGTTTGCCGATGTACACAGCGAGGATGAGTTGCAACGCATGGCGACGACTCTCCCTACCACGGCGACCGATTCGGATCCACAATCAACGCAGATAAGACTCTCTGTCATTTTCAGTTATTATCATCAGCGGAGTACGTTAGCTATTAAAAATTCCAGGTTATTGGTGAAGCTTTGGAGACCTCATCGAAGTCCTGCTATCTCAAAAGCGTGCTGTCAGCAGACCTACCGATGATCTACGAACTGTTCACTCAAGCAACGAAGAGGAGTGACGTGTTTGGCCACCTGGAACACCGAATGTGAAGGAAAAATCAGCTGACTTTGGAACCAAACTGATGGTATACAAATAAAGGGTGCCGTTGGTTGTCCTTCACAGCAGCGAAATATAGACGCTGTACAAAAAAAACATTTGATAAGTGGAACGATTGCTCCAATAATGTCTGCATTAGACTCCAAGTGCTTGACACAAAAGTGATCGGCCGGAGAGGCACCAATGTAATGGATTGCTTGCTACTATTGCGAAACCTGTGGTGGCTCGGACATTTTCGCCGTATGGATGCGACCAAGTTACTGAAACACCCGTGATATGGCCAACTTAGTGCCGGGAATTGGAACGTGGACACTTTGAAGCTATGATATCCGGATATGAGCAATGTGAGTTTATTACAAAATAATGTTGACATCAGCTGTTAGGAGGAAATCTAAGCGGATCGCCATCAATGGTGTGCTCACATCAAAAATGAGAGTGCCCAGTTTCACAAGAAATGACTACTGCATCATGAAGAAGACAGCTGGTTACACAAGCTTCAGATTTCGAAGGAGCCTGGCCCGTCAGTACTATGTAGCTGATGCTGCGGCACATGATGTAAGCAAAAAAATTGGTAACAAGACGGAGAGGTTTGAAACAGTTTCCGTGTCGTTAAATTCCAACGCTAGACCCCATAATCGGTCCGATCCCGGTTTGGGCCACGCAGGTGGATTAAGCGGGTCTAGAGCGCAAACTCCGGAAAAACGACTAATGGATAGATGTCTCATAAGGATATTAACAATCTTAGCGGGAATCACTTACAACCACCAAGAGAAAATTGCTAGTTTGTTTTCGATTCGCAACCCAATGCGCAATGTGGTTGTAGGATTATGTTATGTTTTTAGCTTTTGTAGGCTAAAATGTTTAAGCTCTTACCCCTTTTGTACTACGGCACATTAGATGAGGTGTGTTTTTCACCCTCGGTTAATGTTTATTGGCGATGATGATGATGGTGTGCGGATTACAGAACGCATTCGCAGTTTCGGCCAGCGCATATTTTGAAGTTGGTTCTCTGCGCACTTAGGTGAAACGAAGGTGTTTGACTCATAACACAGTGTTCCATGATCGTTCTCGTGCTTGAGTGCACTCTTCGGGAGAGAGAACCGCATTTGGAATGGAATCCGGAAACGTGCATCCATCGGTCACTATGTTCACCTCAAGATCATCAGCAGTGCAGTAACAATTCATAAACTCTAAAAATTCCATTACCTAAACGAGTACGATTAAATAAAAGTTGTTCTGGTGTGCTCTTAGAGGTGATAATAAAAACCGTCGTCGCATAAGCTCGTGGAAATAAGCTACGGCGAATAAGTCTTCATTCCTTTTAGGTACATCTGAGTAACTTATAATCTAGAGTCGCAGAAACAAAAAGTTGAAGACAACCAGTTCACTGACGATCGCAGAACGGATTTTTCTAAACTAGCTCAAAAGCATGTAAAAGTATAAGGAATCACTCTACGGAAAGTTGAAATTTATTCCGCCGATTCCACAAGCATAGTGGACCACATTCAATGCTGAAAGCGACGCTATTACGTCACTTATCAGTTGTTACGAATGATCTCTTCATCACTTACTGGTATTAAGAATGCATATCTCGGGACGCAGAATCTACTCTCTAATGGGACTTTTGATCCCTGGGGGGTGTGCAAAATCGGCGATGTGGACACTCCCCACCACACTCGACAGTCCCCGGCATTTGTTACATGGTTGTGATTTTCGGTGCGAGTAAAGGATATTTTCAGTTTCTTCTGTCAACACATCTCACAAAATCGAATGATCGAAGGGACGTGATTGAAATTGTACGTGATCAAACGACCGTATACATAAATCCATAAGGGAAAATGCCAATTCTAGAGGAACTACTCGAAACAAGAACGCGACACACATGTCAAGCAAAACCTTCCGAACAATCCAGGACTTTTGGACTTTTCTAGGCCTTTTATGCAAGGTGATTCTGATTCGGTGAATCACAGTAGTATATTGCCTACTCTATCATGAAGGCCGTACGCAGTTGGCTCATGACTGATGAGGGCCGATAACTAAAAAGTTTAGCGAATTCCGCGTCCATAGCTTATGAGTGCATTTGAGCACATGCACTTTTCTAATCAATAAAAACAAATCCCCACATAGTTTATGTGCCGTCATTATTGCAATGTCTTTTTGTCCCAAAACACATAGGGATTTGCATAGTTTTCCGACATTCTTACTTATGGAGTTGACTGGTATACATAGAAATTCATCACATCTAGACTCAGTCAGATGGAATGCGCACTGCTGACGATTCCCGAAAGGATGAAACCGTCGCATAGTGGTTTTCCAGGCGTGTGATGGCTGTCTGACTGAGTCTAGATGTGATAATTGCTATCTACTCTTAATTAAGTCCGAACGTTAGATTCACGACATATCATTCTCAAATTATTACAGCAACCGGTAACTTAATGTTTAACTTTGCGTCTGCTGTTTATCTCAATACCTTCAAAAAGATTAGATTGATTGCGCGATTGAGAAAATGTATTTCATATGCCGTGGCTTATCTAGAGATCAGTGTCAACTTACAGTTATCAAGCACCGGGACATGTATCAATTCGCTTCCTTTTTCACCCCCTACGAAATGATACATTATAAACTGCGTGTTTATTATATTAGCTCGAAGTTTAGTGAGTGATTTTCTTAAATTGCATCATATAGTATTACCATGTCGGTCACGGTTAACTGTTGGGCAACAGGAAGTCACAAGCATTACGCGGTTCTGGTTGTTCATAAGGCAAGTGCACACATTTTCTATTTTGACTTTTCTCTTTTTGTTTTGCTTTTTTGACCGATTCTGCACTCTCTAAAATCCCCATTTGATGGTGTGAATGCTGAAAATATACGCAACCAGATGCATGATATATTCGTTCTGATTTGATTCAATTCGACGATACATGACTTTAGGGAGAAACCGTGTGATGAAGATGCGCTTGCCCACGAAGTAAGACGTGCCTTACTGTACTGAGTTTGACAAGACCTACAGATGTACTCGTCTAATTGGCCAGTCTACCCGACCTAAGCAGCAATCATTAATACGCCCATGCCTCAATGGATAAGATACAGCTCAATGAACGACGTAATTTCATATAAATATGGTAAATAAAACAAGAAGTATTTCAAACAGTAGCGTGAAGCCGAGAGGATCAAAAATAATAATTGAGACTTACCCCCGCTGACAGGATACCATTGTGCGCCATTAACAACGCCATGTCTAAATTGATCGGTGTCATTTTTGCACCTGTAAGCACTTTGGCGCATACGGGGATGATAATCGGCGTATGCATGAGCTAGTTCGCTGGAGAAGAATTAAGTACGAAGAGTCGATGAAAAACAACAAGGGAACGCAAATCACAGCATAAACATTAGGCGATTGTGTATGGTAAGTACACAAGGAAACCACAGCGCAACGAATATTTCGCAAAAGGAAAGTAAGGTGACGAGTCTAAGTTAAATGATATGTATCACCAAGTAGGTTAACCTGGAGTTGATAAGTGCATCCACTCAGTGTAATGATGTGATCAACTAGATTAGAAGTGTCGTAGATTTAAGCCCTTTGGGTATACACAGAGTTTAAAGAGAACTAATTCATTGCGTACGCAAGCTTTGGCTCATGACAGAAGCGCAAAAATAGCAACATGTCTTAAAAATACCGACAAACATCGCCGACCTGTTTACTTAATTCGAAGGGAGAAATGAGGACAGAACATGACACTGCACCTTCGCACTTCCGCATTATAAAGACGCCGTGAAGTAATCAACATAGATTCATTCTCACATTTAGCCTGAATTGCTGCTGCCATGCAACAGCTAGTTCACAAAGCAGTGTTTTGAAAACGATACTCGGCTTGTAGATATTCTCCACAAGCTAACCTACTAAACACCTTGTGGTTGATCAAGTAATCGTGGCCAGTTTGTCCTAGGTGGCGTCTCCTAGTAGGGATAGAAGGATTAAAATCGATTGCACATTTAAAATCAAAGTAACAAAATCGTCTGCAACCATAGCATGGCAAAAACACTTACAGAAAAATAGGATGATCTGGGGTTTTGCTCAAGACAGCCTGATTATCCGGTGAAGAATCGAAAGGGTAATTCGCTACAACAGCCCCGCCGTGAAAGTTGGCAGACAACACAAAGTTGATAGCTCGAAGCCATTCGATAATCATCTTTGTTTCAATCTAAGGGAAGATAGCGGGTACGGTATGCGTCACCTGAATAAAAAGGCTTCAAAACGGATGATTAGTAAATGTAATCCGCACTATAGAAGTTTTGATGTTCTTATTGTGTTGATTCAGGTGACAGAGATAGTTACACGCATATTGGCAGATGAGGGAGCAGCGATTTCACCCATCCCACAGGATGCGACTGCACGCTGGGCTTTGTCAATTTGACTGAGTGAGTGGGCTTGGGAGAACCAAGTAAGTAAGCAAAGCTTATCATCTCCATAGTATTGATCAAAAGAAGAGGATATAGTCCAAATTGGCTCGAATATGTCTGTGTAGGTAAATTATGGAGTGAAAATAAGTATGACAATTCAACATCTGGGAATAGGCTTGGAACCGACTTGGAATTCATAACTTCGGAAGGTTTAAACTACACTTTAGTTTTGCATAAGTTTGCGGATACCTTTGGCTCCGGATGCAATAGCTTCCTCAGACCAGGATTGACCATATTATTCACACAAAGAGCAAAATGTAGCCTGCAGAACAAACCTTAGTAAACCGACTTTACTATAAACCTCCCGAAACCAAGCAGGACATTTTAATAGGACACTTAAACACTCCGCCAAACAGTTACCAAGCGCTCGAAAAACCAGGACGATCGTCCGATTGTTATAGGATCCGTGGACGGCCCTGAGGTTCGTGTGAAATCGTTCCTACACACTGGGAACATGCCTAGTTGTAAATGATGAGCAACGCCATATCGCAGCCGGCTGTCTGGTCACATCCGAAGACTGGTACGTCAGAAGTATTTTCTAGTGTCTCGATGGATGATAGTAACGGTTATAAACCCAAACCTGTCAGAGCGATCTCGCTTTTCTGAAAGGCTCCGAATGGAAGAAACGGCTGCCAAATGGTTTCATTCAGTGTAGTGGGTATCGGACTGTACCTTGCGATGCATCGTTGGTACAAAGGATTCTAAGCCATCAAGTACTTCTGAAGGTGTGCTTAGATTACCCGATGTGTGGCTGAATTGCGAGAAGCAATCTCAATTTGGACCACGAGTTACTGTGAGGCGAACCTCGTGAGATGGTAGTTGGTCGTTTGTGCGAACGCGACCGGCTCGACGCTGGCAAACAGGAAACCCATCAATCGTCGAACACGCTAACTGACTAGGGCTGCTGGAGCTGCAGAGACGAGGCAGAATCGACACGATCTGAAGTGGATGAAGAGTGACCTTGTTACATGTAAGGGAAAAGCGGATTATCCCGAACAGCAGTAAGAGATTCGCGCGTGAGCGCCAACGAATCCAGGCCGACGGTAAAGAATGCACTGGAGGCAAATCCACTGAGTAAACGATAGCGATGAACGACCAGTAAACAGGAAGCGAATCAAGTGCCTTCTAAGCGAGCCGACTGTAATTACACGGATCAGACGGAGAAATGAGAATTGATGTAGTCAAGTATGAGGCCAATTCAACTTGGCCCTAAGTAGGGCAGGATCAAGCTGAACAGAGCACAACGAGTGGACAGCACTTGCAGGCCATTGCACGTGAACAGACGGCAGCTATGCAGTAATCAGCCGTGACATGTGGGAAGTTGCTGCAATAAAATATGGGTTCAAACTTGTTCAATGGTATAAACGATTTCGCATGTACTGACGAGTAAAAGCATTTTGATCAAACGTTACTTATTCATCCAACACCTCACAAGCCGGATGCTAGTTGGGTTGTAAGTTGACAGTCTGCCACTGCGGCCGCTGAGCTGCATAAGTTGTCGGCACAGGCATCGTTGTACTCATGAGTAGGGGATTTTGATGTAATTAAGGGTGGTTCAAGCCGCTGGTGGTCATGGGTTCGAATCCTGGTGGATCCGATGGATGCGCACTACTGACGATGCCCAACAGACTGAAACTGCAGTCTAGTGCTTTTCCGGGCATGTGGACGAATATCTGATTTGGAAACTGGCTGAGATGAACCTCTCTTAATTAAGTGCTTCGTTGGTTTAAGCACATGCTTCGCATGCTTTCTGAGCATTCACCTCGCAGTGCACTCTTCGCGCGAGCCAAAGTCGGCTGGTAGAGAAAATAAAATGTTTGAAAGCGCTGATCTCAAATTTGGTCGCGGTCGGGCTCTCTCGGCTCCCTGGCTGGGATCACAAGGATCACGAGCATACATCGCTAGAAACCCTTTGGGACATGGAAAAGAACCGTGCACAATGGCGAACAGGTTGTGAAGCACTACTACCGTAACTACTATTTTACACCTTTTTTCTCTCCACTATCGTCACACTGTATTTATCCATATGTTGGGGCATTCAACCAATTGTACTGTTCCTCAAATGTGCAATGTATATATATATATATATATATATATATATATAACGTCGGTGCACATACAGTTGTTGGCACTAAGCCGTTGTTGGAATACGTGGCATTGTTAAGGGAAGAATTAATCTCTGATATGGCTATTGGCTTGCTAAATTGTTACGGTGATATGCCATCTAGCTTGGAGCTAACAGGTTTTAGTATCTCTACAGTCTATTTCAGTCCACTTCAGAATACTTTAGAATTAATCTTCTGGTAGAGATTTCACGATCGTTTTTGAACCGGAAGGATCCGGATTCCGGAACATGAGGCAAATGTAGCAGATTTACAGGCTAAACGTTGGTGTTGCCGCATTCCGTCAAGATTCATCAACCGACTCATGTTAAGCATCACCCTCCGTATACCAACCGGATGAGAACAAAATAGATGGAGTGAAACAAGTTGTGAAATTGATGGAAAGGAAGCCATACTACTGCTACTGCCGGCGCACTGCCAAACAGTACATTTGATTAGTGAGTAGAACAAATAGAGACGAGGGAAGATTGATGTGGGACTTAGGATCAAACTCACTGTGTTTTGCCGAATAAGATCAGTCCCATCACGGATGACAAATGGTGGCGAGATCAAGTGTAAACAACAACTGTTATCAAATGTAGATTTCCCACTTGGCCAAACTGGAAATGTTTATCATGTAAGTCTACACTGTCAAGTTTCACAACCTGAAGTGTTATTCAGTGAACAACGAGAAGAATAAACGCTAGCGAATTGAGCCAGTCCGGCTTCCTTTCAGCGGTGGTTGATCCACCGGGTAGAAGACGATGACCTGTAAACCCAGATAGTAAACGATTTGGCAATTTTTCCTTGCTTGGTATTGTTGTCCATACCCAATCTGGCGTCCTTCGTTCATTGCAACCAGACAACCTGAGTTAGGTTGCACGGTAATACTCGGGGATCGGGGTGTTCAGAATTTCGCAATACCATTCGCTATTGGGCGCTGCAGATAGCAAACAAATGACCGTTAGGAGTTCACTTCTGCCGGTTGGAAATATGTGTTAAATTTCCCATAGACAAATTTTTTCGGGATGCAGGGATCCACATAGCGTTATTCTAACTTAGCAGAGCTTGAATGACCTAATAAGATTTGGATAATTTCAAATCACATTGTTTTTAACACCTGTGGCTCTTAGGAATAGCTTCCCATTTTTTCACTGCATATGGAAGTTCTTGGCGCATTAAAAAGCCTAAACAAGGGATTCAAGGGACAATGGGATTTGTGGCGTAAAACAATTACCTTTTCATGGGTTCCAGTTGTCATAGACAAGCTAGGACACTACTGCCTTACAAGAGCTTCGCATGCGCTGGTATGGCAACCATTAGACTCCGACGCGCTCAATAGGGAGGTTTAGCATTGTTATCGACCTACAGCTACAGTTTGGGCATACATTAATTCCTAACGTTAGTGTGCTCATAGTGCTCATCTGATTTATCGCCAGCGCAAGATAAAACTGGTAGCCACAATGCAGTGAGATCCAGAGTTCGATTTCGACGGATCGCCAAGCTCTCTTCGTAAGGATTTCTGATTAGTGTTCAAACAAGATCAGGTGCTATTTCCTGTGTAAACTGCACTAGAAGAACTCATTGGGTGGTCATCGACGGGCAGTTATATATTGAGCATCCTCTACTTTACCTCAGCAGTCATCGAACGCACGCACACATCATTAATTATACAGTTAACCATAAATCGTTGCACCTACTCACATGAGACCATTATTGAAGCCGTTACCGGCGAGGTCAGGTTGGTCCACAAGTCATAACGCTCAGCCGTGCGCGCGATTTGGTGTAGCGCCCATAAAGATAACTGCCATCTTTTGTGTGCTATTTCGCTGATTACCAATTGTACACTATTCTTTCTTCTTTGAATCTTTCTTACAACCGACTCGTCACTTGGCCGTCCTATAAGTTCCCGCGCTAACGCGTTGCTCTTGTCTCGCTTCATCCGTCCGCGTCTTCTTGTAGCCCATCGAATACAGTCCGCTGTGTCCGACTTCAGTTGCTTTCTGATATCCGCGCTTAATTTCGCGCACCGTCTCGGACTAGTATTTACTAGTCATACAAATTGGTGACCCGGATTCGCACGCACGAATTTAAACCTTTTTCGTCGTTTGTACTTCGTGGTGAGTTCGTTTCCTTTTCTCGATTATTTACGTGTATTCATCTGCTTCCTGTGTAATTTTAGTAGTTTTGTCGCATTTTCGTTCATCATCGATCATTTCGAGTCACATTTAGGAACTGGCATCCTAGTCGTTTCGCAGCGTAATGCTTACTTTGGCTGTTCCAAGTTTCATGGCACACAACCTAGTTTGGTTTGAGATATTCGAGATTGAACTGAAAAATAAGGGCATTAGGATAGACCGTACGAGGTACAAGGAGCTCGTCCGATGCCTTACTTCAGCGTTGCAACGCTGGTTGAGGAAATTCTAGTATGTCCATCAAATGAGGCAAAATATGAAACGACGAAGCAAGCGATTCTAAAAGAGTTACAGCCCACCGCACCAGCTCGATTTGAACAGCTCAATGGTCTCAAGCTTGGAGATCGCAAGCCGTCGGCGTTGCTCCGGGAAACACAGCGCATCGCTGGTCCTTTATTCTTGAGCGAAGAAGAGATAAAGGAACTGTGGTTTACACGTCTCCCA